CTTCCCCAAGCCTGTAGCGCTGCATGGGGTTGTTGTGACCAAAGTGCAGGACCCGGCACTTGGCCTTGTTGAACCTCATACAGTTGGCCTCAACCCATTGATCCAGCCTGTCCAGATCCCTCCCGTCAAGCAGATCGACACTTGCTAGTGTTGAAAGAATTCATTAATATGGGAATAAAATCCATGCTCTTGTTTCAGGGTAGCAAACTATGATTTTTCTTCCCTTCCTGCACCATCGCTACTAACTTCAATCAAACTTGTGAAGCCGCTCCAAATCCCATCTGAATGAACTCTTCCATTTATTGTCATTTCCTCAAAGTAACTCTTCCCTCTGGTCACTGCCTAAACTGAAGCACAGCTCCCTTTTCCTTCTTTCCCTTTGATGCTGGAAGAGCATTCTTTTTTTTCCATGACTTTTTCTGTTAAAGCACAATGACCAGTTCAGACATGCCCCTGTTTAAAAATGCATGGTTCTGCAAAAATTAAAATTAAAACCTACACATTGTCGAATCGAAATGAGGTCTGCAGCCAGCTCTGGGGCCACGAAGGCATATTCCAGAACACAAGGAAGGGTGTCTGGAAAGAATTCAGATGAGCTATGCTTGTTTTCAACATCTGTTGATGTTATAAAATACATACTGTGCTGTGAGTGTTTTGTAAATGTGTGTGTCGCTCAGTCTGCAAACAGAAGGGACAGTAATTACTAACTCTGTATCATCTATACCTATTAAAAGCACATACAAGGAACATCCCTCCTGCCAACCCAGATGTTATGTTTCTCAGTGGTACAAAATACACCGTTTAGGACTGCTCATATAAGGCTGGTTTCCTTGGGCAATTTTCTGAGTAAGAAGAAAAGGTCTTTGGATCCTATTTGAGTTCTGCCCCCACCCCCCCTCCCCCCCCATTCCAACGGGGAAACAGCAGCTTCCATAAACCCTGATACAATTCAGCCACAAGTGAAGAGGTCGATAAAAGTTACGCAGCATTGCTACTCTGTAGTTGCATTTGCCAAATCAAATAAAACATGTTAGTCATGTTGACTAATTTTGCATTACCTAGTAGCTGCTCAATGAATTAAACGCAGTATCTAAATAACCTATTTATTTGGTGACACTGATGTCCTGAATAACTTTGCCATGCATGACGTGGATCCTAAATACAACCTGTAGAGCTGAGACCTAGGTTCAGACACATTTTTCGAAAGTGGACTGTGAATAACAGCAATTCGATTTGCACATCTTTTGCTTTAAAAAGCTCTCTGCCACCAATAACTTTCTGGCCTCTGACATGCAAATGTTTGGGGGCTTTACTGTAAAATAAAATCATTTATATACTAAAATTCTTTTGGTTTCCAAATTCTCAAATAAAAAAATGTTGTGAGCATTTTAGATTAATTAACTTTAAATCTTAAATCTGGTTTGTTTCCTTTTGTTTTTAACTGTACATTAGTTCACAGAAGTTTTGGGAAGATTTTCACTGGTTAAATAAATGAAGTGTGTATGTCTATGTGGGCTTTTTATTTCAAGGAAAGAATATCACATCTGTCTGTAATTTAGACTACACTTGGGCAATAAAGCAAATGGAAATATTTTGATCAAGCATAATAAAAATAGATTTCTGATGCCTATAATAAACAATAATGACAATCGAGTGTTGGGGTGGAGACAATAGAACTTTCTACATAAAATATCCTGAATTGTTGAATTAACTTATTTTTACACAATTGGAGGAAATTAGATGTACATGCTGATTTTTGGTAGAGTAAGTAATGCCTTAGATGTTGCCTTAGATCAGGAAATGTAATCTTAGACATTTCTGTAATGTTTGTAATATTGTAAGTGACAAAGATTAAGAGATAAATCAAGAAAGTTTGTAGAACTACTTACTATGGGAAGCATTTGGTTATCCCCTCTCTGTAATCTTCAGATTTCTATTTGGTTAACGTGATGCTCAGTCTAAGATTGTAATTTCGAAAGCTCATTTTGATGAGGTAAATTGCTCCCTTAGTTTC